ATAATAACCTCCTCAGCTTCACAAATATATTTTCAGAAGAAAACAACAAATCCTGATAATACAGCTACTATACGTCAAAAGATATAAACAAACGAAGTAAGAGAAAATAAAGGACAAGTTCGAATGTCATGTCCCCATTGGGGCTGATAGTGTCAAACAGATATTATAGTTGAAATATACTAGAATTACTATTCGAAGACGTCTTATTAGTAGTTTGAATTGGTGCCGTAAAAGTATAATACTGTCGATTTTTAAACAACCAGGAACGGAATCGAATCCCGTATTTAGCGATTTTTTATATTTTAAAAATAAAATATTTATTATTGGCCTCTCAGATTATTGCACAATTCCAACACTCAGTAAGTAAATAAACGGGGATTCGTAATCTTGTGAGAGCAAAAGTAAAATGGCTTTCTAGATGTGCACTGATATGTAATTTACTCATAGTATAATTAAGTTGAATACTCCTAACCACCCTGGTTACCATGGCCTGTACCACATGTCTTCGGGATAGGTCAAATTTTCCAACTCAATATTCCTAGTTATTTTATAATCACAATGATTTCTGTATTATTAATTTTCAGAAACAGGACACAAAAGGTGGATTTCACATTCTATCACACACAGGAATAGGCCATTATGAATCTGAAACATCAACAAATGAAAGAAAGTTAAAGGTTAGCCGGTCCCTGAACTTTTCTGGATGTTCAAATATTTGTAGTGGGGAACAGTTGTGGGTTTTACTAATTATGACTTGGTCCCTTTGTTGAGCGATTACCCTCGGAAATATTGAAGGAATTTCGTTTGAATGAATTATATATCCATGCATATCTTCAACCATGTAAACATTGATGTGTTCAAATTGGGTAAAATGGGCTAAACATATGATGTGAAGTCGATTCTTTTTCATCTTGAAAAATTTGATCCAGGACTCTAATGTCATTTTATTATGATGACTTCTAGCGAGGTTGGCCCAGAATACAAATGTAAAATAAACAAGTTGTATATTTAAATATATTTGCAAAAGTCGTCGAATGAAATTATTCGGAATATTACATTCTTGTTGTTTTTATTTTCAAACGTGAATACAAATGACATAGAAGGCACAATAGGTTAACAATGACGGTCAGTTGAAATATGATTTGGCAGCTCTTTGCGATTGATATTGAGAAATTCTAACTATGGTTTCTAACAATGGAGTAACATTAGATATCTTTAATGATAAACAAAAGAATCTGATTTAACTCAACCTATACGAGTGGCAAATACGAATAGGACTTCAGAAATAACATGAGCGTATTTGTTGCTTTAAAACAATTTAATTCGCAATTGAATATGAGGCCAGATGACTCTCTCCATGCGTAGCTACGTGTGATTAAAATTCAAGTAGCACTAATGGCGACGTCAGCTCCGAGTCTAATTGTATAATGTGCCGACCCGGCTATTTCGGTCTCCCAGCTCACTTGTCATCAATCTCTAACCTTATCTCTTTAATCCACCGTCTCAATTTGATGACATTCCTCTACTTGATGACTCACTCCAACATAATCCTTATATCTGCGGGCTAGAAGATTGAAATGGCAGCTGTAAGATATCCTCTCCTGTAATCCTTCTAATTTTGGACGATATAATCGAAGGTATTTCTGGTAGCTAATCTCCCTCAAATCCGGAATATATTTAGATAATATACCTTTGTCGTAGATAGACAGGCTGAACATCCGTAGTGCAAAAATAAAACTGAAATATGTTCCAGAAGGGGGCACATTAGGTGCATTTCTTCTTTAAAATAAATACAAAATTCAATGCTCTTTTTATGATTGAAAACATTTTCTATAGACCCTAAGATAGGGCAGGACTCATCAGTGATGATCCTTCCCAGGGGTTTGGCCAGTTTAATCTCCCGACAGTTCTACCTTTGTCTTAAAATAATTTTCTTATGAGGTCTGCGTTTATGAAGAACTACAGGGAAAGTTTTTAAATGTATCTCTATACACTATACCTTTAAGGACTCTAAAAAAATGCCTTTAAATTGATTATTACGTGCACTATATAATTCTCTTGGGCAAAATCACAGAAAAAGCTGGTAGGACATCATGCCATATATCACCAACGTCATCCTAACCCACAGTAGTGTTTTATATTAACAGAGCTCTCTTATTGGTAAAACTGATCAACAACAATTTTGCCCAAGAGAACCTGATGGTGCTTCTAGTGTAACCTTTCATGCTGAACTCAAATGTCTAATCAGAAATTTTCATCACCCATGGTTTTTGCATGACAGCCTTTTTTTGGTATTAAAATAAATACAGAAAAAATGCAAAAATTATTACGTAAGCAATTTTGCATAAACCTTATTACATCACACTGGTTTATCAAAAATTATTTTTCTTTGTCTCAAAAGAAACAGCATCTTATCTAAATTTATCTCTTTGTGCCGATTCCAAATATACCATTAGTTTTTTCTATCACACAAAGATTTTTGAGATACACCTACTTGAAATTTGGAAATGTTTTTAATATATAGGCCCTATATGAACGGAATATATTATTTTATTGAAAAGTAGTGACAGTGGATTTTCTTCTATATTTTGCTTGTGGTACATCTTTCTTGAGTGTCCAGCAGTAATCAGCAAGCATACCGGGACTCCATTTACCTTGGTACCGCTTCTCCATGCTTGATATATCTTGATGAAAGCTCTTACCATGCTCATCGCTAACTGCACCAACATTGTCTGGAAAGAAATCCAGATGTGAATGTTGGAAATGGATCTCGAGAGGCATGTTACATCCCAGTGCCTTGTAGGAAAGCAAAAGATCATTAACTATGTCTTTGAATTTTCAACCTTGACACTTCCTAAGAAGTTCTTGCAAACGTTTCTAAAGGAATTCCATGCTGCTGCTTCAACTTCATTCAAACTATTTTGAAAATTTCCATCCTGCAGCAATTCTCGAATCTGAGGTCCAACGAAATTGCCCTTTTTAAATTTCGCATCACTTATGCTAGAACATATTTGTTTTAGGTAGGCAAATCTACTGGAATTTCGATCCATTGCCTTGATAAAGTTATTCATTAATCCCAGTTTAATATGTAATGGTGGTAAGTAAATATTTTCTGAATCGATCAGGGGGGGATTTACAATATTTTTATGTCCAGGAGTAAAGATTTCAATTGTCAAGTTTCAAGATTTCAGCTTTTTTTTTTATGTAATGCCTTTCCCTATTTCTGCTATCCCACTCAGACAGAAAACAACTAAAATTTCTATATCCAAGCTGTAATCCACGCAAGAGAGCAGACTTTCAAAACGCTGCATATTTTCCAACCGTATTTTTCATATTCTATCTCTTTCCAAAGCAGTTTCATGTTTTCGTAAGTCTCTTTCATGTTGGATGAATGTGCTATTGGCACTGATGGGAACTTATTTCCGTTGTGAAGGAGAACAGCTTTCAAACTAATTTTTGAAGAATCAACGAATAAACGCCACCATTCTGTATCATGGTCATGACCAAGCGCTTTCATTGCAATATACTAAATCATTCTCTTGTGAAAAGAAGTCTTGAAATTCATCTTAACGCTTGCGAAAAAAGCATAATTTTGTGCCTTTATGCAACAGATTCCAGCCTTTTAAACCTAGAGCCTAAAAGTTCACTCTGTTTTTGGATAAATCTAAATCACGTACGAGGTCGTTCAAATCTCCTAACAATTAAGGTTCAGATGAAGCACCTGCTTCAAATTTGTGTCATCCGACTGTTGCTCTCGACTATCTAAATCATCGTCACTAAATATTACATTTTCAGGAGGCTGTGGCACAGGTAAAATATCACTGTTGTATAGTTATTATTTAATTTATTAATTAAACATTACTCACCAGATGAAATTATTTTATTACAATTATATATATTTAAAAGGTTACATTTATTTTATTTTACAATTTTCTTTATGTTCGATTCCAATGTTTTTCGCTTCACGCGCTCTATGATTATGATATATTGTCTATCTTTAAACACAGAATACTACATTCCATCCTTCCTTTAGATGAAAGGAATCATGTCGATATATCTTGATGATGGCTTGAAGACTCTTCCACTCCTGGTGATCACGGGTTCCTTGGTAGTCGGCAAGGATGGAGAAACCTCTGGTGGCACCTGGTGAAGAGTCTCGGCATCAAGTCTATCTGAAACAACTGAGTTAAATGTAGACCCTGTTCTACTTGAACTTGGTCGGTTTAAAGAAGTGTCCTTGTCTTGGTTTGAGGGATTATCATCTGGCATTTGTACATCAGAGGAGTTGAGGTGTTCAAATCCTGTTGAATCAGAACTAAGATTTTCCTGGCTCTCTTCTGGAATCAAGTCAGAAATGTCTCAATTGGTCTCTTGAGTAGGAACATGTTTCAAATGTTTTGCATTTCTATGAATTATTTTCCCATTTTTAGTGTTGACTAATTTAAAAGGATTTATTGAAGTGTTTTCAAGAATGACATGATGTTCTGATCTGAAATTTGAATCAAGTTTTCCATTATTTGGATTTGCCACATACTTCATTCAAAAAAGTTAGAAATAGTAAATATTTCTCTTTGAAATAAATATTGATTTTTCACAAAAAAGAAACTTATGCGGTGTAACTTTAAGTATTGTTTATAATCACACGCCGCAGTCCTTTATAATGTATTATAAGTTACTTTAAATATTATTTACGAACGGAAGAATACGTCCAGGGTAGCCTAGTGGACATGGCACCTGCCCGGTAAGCCGAAGGTTGTGGGTTCGATTCCCGCCCTGGACACTTTTATTTTTCCGTTCGCCATTACTCTTCATATTTTCACCCTCTCATACTTCATTCAAAAAGTTAGAAATAGTAAATATTTCTCTTTGAAATAAATATTGATTTTTCACAAAAAAGAAACTTATGCAGTGTAACTTTAAGTATTATTTATAATACTCGTCGCAGTCCTTTATAATGTATTATAAGTTACTTTAAATATTATTTACGAACGGAAGAATACGTCTAGGGTAGCCTAGTGGACATGGCACCTGCCCGGTAAGCAGAAGTTTGTGGGTTCGATTCCCGCTCCTGGGCACTTTTATTTTTCCGTTCGCCATTACTCTTCATATTTTCACCCTCTCATACTTCATTCAAAAAAGTTAGAAATAGTAAATATTTCTCTTTGAAATAAATATTGATTTTTCACAAAAAAAAAACTTATGCGGTGTAACTTTAAGTATTGTTTATAATCACTCGCCGCAGTCCTTTATAATGTATTATAAGTTACTTTAAATATTATTTACGAACGGAAGAATACGTCCAGGGTAGCCTAGTGGACATGGCACCTGCCCGGTAAGCAGAAGGTTGTGGGTTCGATTCCCGCCCCTGGACACTTTTATTTTTCCTTTCGCCAATACTCTTCATATTTTCACCCTCTCATACTTCATTCAAAAAAGTTAGAAATAGTAAATATTTCTCTTTGAAATAAATATTGATTTTTCACAAAAAAGAAACTTGTGCGGTGTAACTTTAAGTATTGTTTATAATCACTCGCCGCAGTCCTTTATAATGTATTATAAGTTACTTTAAATATATTTTCGAACGGAAGAATACGTCCAGGGTAGCCTAGTGGACATGGCATCTGCCCGGTAAGCAGAAGGTTGTGGGTTCGATTCCCGCCCCTGGACACTTTTATTTTTCCTTTCGCCATTACTCTTCATATTTTCACCCTCTCATACTTCATTCAAAAAAGTTAGAAATAGTAAATATTTCTCTTTGAAATAAATATTGATTTTTCACAAAAAAAAAACTTATGCGGTGTAACTTTAAGTATTGTTTATAATCACTCGCCGCAGTCCTTTATAATGTATAATAAGTTACTTTAAATATTTTTTACGAACGGAAGAATACGTCCAGGGTAGCCTAGTGGACATGGCACCTGCCCGGTAAGCAGAAGGTTGTGGGTTCGATTCCCGCCCCTGGACACTTTTATTTTTCCGTTCGCCATTACTCTTCATATTTTCACCCTCTCATACTTCATTCAAAAAAAGTTAGAAATAGTAAATATTTCTCTTTGAAATAAATATTGATTTTTCACAAAAAAGAAACTTATGCGGTGTAACTTTAAGTATTGTTTATAATCACTCGCCGCAGTCCTTTATAATGTATTATAAGTTACTTTAAATATTATTTACGAACGGAAGAATACGTCCAGGGTAGCCTAGTGGACATGGCACCTCCCGGTAAGCAGAAGGTTGTGGGTTCGATTCCCGCCCCTGGACACTTTTATTTTTCCGTTCGCCATTACTCTTCATATTTTCACCCTCTCATACTTCATTTAAAAAGTTAGAAATAGTAAATATTTCTCTTTGAAATAAATATTGATTTTTCACAAAAAAGAAACTTATGCGGTGTAACTTTAAGTATTGTTTAAAGCCATTATCTGTTACAACTTCATGTGGATAACCATGTCTTGCAAATATCTTCATCAATTTTTTAATAATTGTCTTGCTGGAAATGTCTTCTATTATCATTGCTTCAGGATATGAAGAATAGTAGTCGATCACTGTTAAAACATAATGATGGCCAATTGGACCAACTATGTCAATTCCAAGTTTCATCCAAGGTTTTGATGGTAACGGAACTATTTGCAATGGTTGATCATTTATCAATGGTTGATTCCTTACACAAATTGGACAGTTTATTATCAAATTTTCAATGTCAAAGTCCATGTTTATCCAAAAATATTTTTCTCTTAACAGTTGTTTGGTTCTTGTCATTCCTTGATGTGTTTCATGTGCAATTCTCAAGATTCTCTTTATTAGTTTTGAAGGTAGCAAAATTCTACTTCCTTTTAAGATAAGATTATCAAAAAGTGAGAGTTCCTCTTTAAACTTATAAAAACATTTGAATTTTTCATTCAAAGGATATGGCCAAACTCTCTTTTGAACCATCTCTTTCAGTTTTTGAAACAAAGGATCTTGCTCTGTACAAACTTTTATCTCTTTCAAAGACAGTGCTTGAAGCTCTTCAGAAGTGATGGATAAGACTTTATGAACATAGTCTTCCAGCCATTTTTCATCACTTGTGTTAGAAAGAGGTTGTCTTGAAAATATATCTGCAATATTTTGCTTTCCTTGAATGAATTCAATTTCAAAGTCATATGGTTGTAATCTCCATCTCAATCTTTGAATTCTTGGAGGCAAAACAGCTCCATTTTTAGGATTCAGCATATAGATTAGAGGTTTGTGATCTGTTTTAACACAAATTTCCTTCCCCAAATATAGGTGTTAAAATGTTCAATGTCCAATGTCTCTTTTTATATTTGTGAATGTCTTTTTTCAGTATCAGTTAAGGATCTGCTGGCAAATGCAATGGGTTTTTTAATGCCATTTTGTTGTGTTTGTGTAAATACTGCTCCAAGACCAATAGGGCTTGCATCTGTGATTAATTCAGGTGGTGAGTTCAAGTTGTAATATGCCAAGCATGGCTCTTTTGTTAGTGACTCTTTAAATCTTGAAATGCTTTATTTGTTTTCAAATCCCAAATCCACCTAACATTTTTTTCTAGTCAAATTATTTAGAAGTTCTTCCAATTTAGAAAAATTAGGTATGTATTTTCTTAAAAACCCACTGGTTCCTAAGAATGACCTTAACATCTCAATATTTTTTGGTATTGGAAAATTTAAGACTGCTTCTATTTTCCTATTATCAGGTTTAATACCTTCACTACTAACAATGTGACCTAAAATATCCAATTCTTCCATGGCAAATTTGCACTTATTCCTGTTGAGCCTAATGCCTACTTTATCAAATCTTTGTAAGACTTTTCTAAGCCTTTCTTCTAGTTCTTGTCTATCTTTGGCGTAAACTACGACATCGTCCAAGTAACAAATTACACCTTTCAAATCAAGCAAATGTGAATCCATTCCTTTCTGATATGCCTCTAGAGCACTTGATAGACCAAAAGGAACTTTACAAAATCTGTAACAACCACGGTGTGTGTGCGTGATGAAAGTTGTAAGGGGTCTTGATTGAGGGTCTAAGTCAACCTGCCAAAACCCTTTTTTTGCATCCAGCTTTGCAAATACTTTAGCACCTTTAAGGGCATGTAACATAATGTCAATTGTAGGAATTGGATGTCTTTCTCTCAATATTGCTTTATTCACTTCCCGAAGGTCTATGCATAGTATAATTTCCTCACTATCCCTTTTTGGAACAACTATTATGTTAGTAACCCATTCAGAACCTTGATGCACTTCTTCAATGATTCTATTCTCTAGCATCTTATCAAGCTCTTGATTTACTGCTTCTACCATTGCATAAGGTATGCGACGGCATCTCTGAGCAATGGGCCTATAATTGTCTTTCAATGTCACTTTATGACTATAGCCTTTTATAGTTCCAAGTCCATGGAAAAGATGTTCATGTTCTTGAACAAGAGTTTCTATATTAGTATACATTGATTCATTTACATGATTTACCCTTCTAATTATATATAGTTCAAAACTAGCCTTGCCTCCCAACAAAGATTCAACTTTTTTATCAATCACATAAATTTCTTCTGAAATTGAATTTTCTTTCCAAGAAATCACAGCATTGAAATATCCATAACAAGGAAGAGGTCTATCTTGACCATAGGCAAAAAAGGTTTGGGTGGTGTCATGTAATTTTGGCATAATTTTATGGCCATATAATTCAAGCATCTTATTAAAGCTTATGAAAGTTCTATCACTCCCTGTATCAATTACCATATTTATTTCACTACCATCTATTTGCACTTTTTCTTTATTTTCAGCACCTGTATAGTTGGTATATTCATCTGAACTTTCACCTACTTCAGTCTTATTTTCTTCTTGTATGGTCTTAACTTTAGTTTGATTGAAACTTTTGTGGTTTCTATTATTATTTTGATTTTTGGGCGATTCCTGCAAGCTCTAAAATGATGTCCTAATTTATTGCAATATGAACAAGTCATTTTTTTAGCACCACATTCTTGTGCTGAATGTGTATCTAATCCACAGCGATAACATTTAGGCTTTGAGGTACCTGAAAATGATGGGGTACCTTGATTAGTGAATCTAACTTTGTTGAAATTATAATCATTATAGTGCTTTTTAGGTTTAATTTGAACTCTATTTAGTGTTTGATCATTTTGAGGTTCAAGAAGTCTAATTTCTTTTCTAGAAATTTCTAACATTCTAGCAATATCAATGGTTTTTGACAGTGTCAAATTTTCTTGTTGCAACAATTTTTCTTTAAGTTTTTTGTTGTTACATTTTTCAATTATTTGGTCTCTTATCATATCAGCTTCTAAATTCTCAAATTCACAAGATTTAGAAAGCTCTCTTAAAGAAATTAGGTAGTTGTCGATCGATTCATCATCTTTCTGGACTCTTTGTCTAAATTTAAATCTCTCAGTGACCACATTTTTATGAGGTGTGAAATATTTATCTAAAGCAATTTTAGTTTGTTCATAATTTTCCTTTCATCTGGAAAGTTGAAAATTATACGTTGTACACTCGGCCCTAAACAATGCAATAGAGTTGCTCTCTTAATTTCATCCGATTTTTTTTTTAATTCCAGATGCTATTTCAAAAATGGCATAGGATTCCATCCATTGCTTATATTCCGCAAATAAATTGCTAGCATTCATATTCATGGGTAAAGGTGGCGTCTCAGGTTGGCTGCCATACTTGTTTTTATTTTTAGAGCAACAGTTATATTTTAAAATAATCGTCGCCAATTTATGTTGTATAGTTATTATTTGATTTATTAATTAAACATTACTCACCAGATGAAATTATTTTATCACAATTATATATATTTAAAAGGTTACATTTATTTTATTTTACAATTTTCTTTATATTCGAATCCAATGTTTTTCACTTCACGCGCTCTATGATGATGATATATTGTCTATTTTTAAACACAGAATACTACAATCACTATGAGGAACCAGTCTCATAGCAGAAGGCAAATTTGGATATTCAACTGTATGTCTTGATTTGGATGTAATACCTGTAGTCTTTGTCAAACAAAAATAACAGTCTGAAGAATGGTATTTAGGTTCCCTCTATATCATTGGAACCGCAAA